TGTCAGCTCCATATCCTGGTGAATTGGTAGCATCCTAGTGAATTTTCTTTACTACTACAAAGAAAAACAATATTTCTGTTAAATTCTGCAAAAATACTTTGGTGGTGTTTTTATTTTTCCATGGGCTAGCTGCTGAATTATGTCAAGGAAAGCAAGACTTATTAAAGTCAGAGAAGTTAGTGCAGTATGGACTGCAGTAAACTTATTTTTAAATACTCTGAAAAATCTTGACCTGATTCTGATTTTGCTATTAGCAATTGACATAGTGACATTTCACTTGTAAGGGATTTGAATCCACCTTGTATTTTCAAATAATTTAAGTAATGCTTTTGCATCAAGTACCATAGGTCATTCTAGACCCTCTTGTTTCCCTTTGGATCACTGTGCACAATTATCTGTTGATCTTGCTTTTCTTTCCATCTCTGTCTGAATCTCTGTGATGCCAATAAAGCACATCACATCTGGTTTGCAGTCAGAACTTTGTTTCCTTGGTAAGACTGTGGGAATTCTTCCCCTATGCATGTTACTTACAATTCAGTGGCCTATTTTATGGACCTCCAGCTAATTTTTGTTCTGCCTCAAAATCAATTTGAATTTGGTAAGAGGCTGACCACTACAGTCATTTACATTCCTCATATTTACTGATCCTGTAATTCAGTAGCAAAAAACCCAGTCACAGTTGCCTAATCTACTAACTTAATTTAAAGATGATCTAAAAAGAAAAAAAAAAGCATTTATGGAAGTGCAAATTAATGGCTGCATTGGACTTCATGTCAGCTGGTACATGATGACCTGGAAAACACAGTGCATTGGTATGTCTCTATCAGAGAAAAAAATTTCCAATGCCTAGAATATCCTGTTGGCACCAAGTAGCTGGACTTTCAAAAGGGCTTAATTATTGAGTGTTGAACACTGTGGACCTTGGGTCTTGGGTGTGAATATACTCCTTAAAACCTGGTCTTGAATTCCCTTGAAAGTCTTGCTTTGACTGCACACAATGTTTGATTTAAGGTGTTGACCTTTCCTTACTGAATATTCTCTGGGTTTAAAGAGTGTCCAAAGGGAGAGTTACTTCCAAAAATAGTCTGTGCTTGTGCAGCCTTTTAAAATGAAAAATAGATCTTTTAAGAGTAATGGTTAACAATGTGCTCTCATTACTCATTTCTAAATTGCTTTTCTTGGCACAAACATTTCTATGCTGGACCCCTTTTCCATAGATGGAGAGAATCCAGCCTTTTAACTCTTTGATCAAAATCATAAAACTCTTCACAATTATTCTGTCTTTGATGGTAACAAGAAACTCCCAAAGTATATTAATAAATATCTCCAAACACACACTTTTGTAGCCCAAAGCTACACACAATCCTCTAATGGGGATCCTCTGATGCAATATTCAGGGAGTACTTGGAATACTCAAATGTAGCACGTAAGAGTATTAAAAAGCAGATCTCAGCCCTCTCAGCTAAAGATCATATTCCTGAATGTTTTTCACATGATTCATTAGCTCCTAACGTCAAGTGTCATCCCTCTGGGAGATGAGCTTGGTAAGGCACTATTTAATTTTTCCTCAATAAAAGTCAGCTGTGTCTTGATCTACAGAAGAATGAGGACCCAGCCCTGTTTCCTAACACAAGAGGGAAGTAGAGCTGCCTGTGAGTGTAAATACTCTGCCAAGCAGGGTGGTGGCAAGAAGCAGAGGTAAGAGAAGCAGGGGTTCTTCACTGCAGTGAAGTTTGTTGCATCATGACAAAAAAATAAAGGTATTAAAATTACCTTTTAATACTATCTGATTGACGTGGAAGCTAAGGGAAACTTGTGATCAATTTTCTTTCCTATTTTTTTGGTATGACCACAAAACCAGACAACCCATTCTTCACCCAGCTCTACTAATGAGCTTCTTTCTCCCAGGTTTTGTACCCTGCATAATGAAGAACATCTGTACCTTGAGTACAGATGACATTGAGTAAAGAACATCTGTACCTTGAGTAAAGCTTGACATTTCCCTGCCTATTCACCAAAGGCCTTTTTCTCTTCTTTCAATGCAACACTACAAACTCAGTGCCTGGGAAAGAAACCTGGTGGAGTCTCCAGAACATTCTATTCTGATCACCTTCCATCAATATTTCATCAGAATTACCCCATTCATATGGTAATAATTTCCTTCTAATCAGTGTTTCCTATGTAACCTTGTTTACTCACTCCTACTTATTCCCACTTGCCAAGAAAGCCAGATGAGACTATTGGGGGCATCTGTCTTTCAGGACACTAAGAACAGATTAATCATGCTGACAGCATGCTAACAAAAGGATGGGTTTCATTAATTAGCACTTATAAATAATTTGTTAAAGGTTACAGAGTGCTTAATGTATTCCTTAGTAAACAGTTATAACATGGACCAGCCAACCAATAAATTGCTTATAGCTAGAAAAAGCTTTTCTGTTGGGCTTAGAGTACTTCTCAACCTTTCTGAAAACCAAGGGCCACCTACTATCCTGAGCAAAATGCTGATTACCATTGTGGAAATGGAGTATTTTGTACCTCATTGCTTAATGTGTTTCATGTGAGGTTATTATATTTTTATTATTCATAGTAACATATCTGTTTATTTTGCCTTGATTGTTTGGTCATATGCATAGCATTGATTTTTTGAAAGGGGAGAGACCATTTTGCAGTCTGCTTGGTGGTGTCTGGCAAACCATCAGAGTCCAGGTTGAGGTGTAGTGATCTGTGGTATGCACTGCTCAGGTAGGGTGCTATTAGCAACTTCTTCATTAACTCTTCCTAGAAGTGTCCTCGTGGGCTTAGGCTGTAGTCATTAACATTACTGAGCAGCTGCATATGCACACATGGGAGCAGGTACAGTTCTGACATTCTGAAACTGTCTGATTTTATTTTAACACTAGCAGAATTTCGAGTTTCATAGGGCATCTAATGAAGACTGAAAAATCTGGATTTAAAATTTTGAAAAAAGGCAGCAAAACTTATCTCTGGTGGGCAAGGAATACATCAAGTCTTCTACTGCCCCTGGTATGTTAGCAAGATCCAGTGGATGCTACTTAATTACCATATATTGGCAAATATATTTAATTTTTTAATATATAAAAATATAATTCTGTGCAGGTAAAATTCTGAGAAGGTTTATATGCTTATAAAATTTCTATGAGCTTGTTGTCTTCCCTTAATCACAGTGTCTCTACAGCAGAGGATAGAAAGGGAAGCTGAAGATGGTTTCTTTGTTACCTGTCTCTGATCTCAAGAGTTCCATGTGCATTCCACGATTCTGCAATGTAATAATGAGGGCTGATCCCAAAAACTCAGCTGGATTCTCCACAAGAACCATTCACTGTCACAGGGTTGTTTTTATTGCCAGTCTCAAGATGATAAATGTTTTCGTACAGGATCACCCAGAAAGTGGTTTTTTTAAAAATGAGATTTTTATCTGATAATTTTATACCTTGTAGAGAATGTCCATGAAATGGCTCACATTTGTTATAATGAGTACACCAGCAAAATAACCCCTGAAAATGTAGTCCTGTGCCAGTCACATAAGGTGTGGAATTTGTGGTAAATTTTCAGTTTGACTGTAGCTGTAGGGATGTGCTGAGATACTGACTTACTTCAGACAAATCAGAGGTTAAGCAGCCATACAGACTTTTAATCATGTACAAATTTTTTTACCCCAACCATAGCAAATGCTGGTAGATTTTGAAAGAAAATTGCATATATTTGGGCTCTTTTTGCTGCTCTATTTCAACTCAGGAGTAAATGAGAGAATTCAGAATCAGGTTATTTACAAATACATTAAATGATGGAAAATTAATTTAAACACTACACATTGCAGATGCCTGGAGTAGTTAGATCTTATAGAGCTTTTGGGCTGTATTATACAGCAGGGATCCAAATTTTATCCTGTGGCCTGTAAGTACAATAGTACAAAAAAGTACCCTTCTTGAATCCTCAAGAAAAGTCCTAGGAAAGAATGGCCTTCACATGGGTGCATAAGCTGTCAAAAATACTACAACAATTAAATAATGGTAATTGAAGATTTATTGCATATTTTAACAAAATCTTGCAGGCTTAATAGATAAGAAACAGCAATTATCCTCCAAGCAGCAATATATTTAAATATTTAAAAGAAAGAGAAACTGCTATTTATGACATGAAGGCAAATCTCTATTGTGAAGTTCTGAACACCAAAACAGCCAACACATTTTACTTAATTTTCAAATGCCAGGTGTTAAATTGGAATATTTGTATGTGGTCTGGCCACACTCTGCTGTTCCCCTGGGGTGTGCTGCCCTTCCCATGGGAGAGGAGGGAATGCTGTACCAGAAAGGATCTCCTGTTTCTCTCCCGGAGCTTTCCAGAGCTCCCTGTGAATGGCAGAGCCTGTCTGAGCCTGCAGGAGACAAGGCTTAGCAAGGCTTCACACAGCAGAGCGTGATCCAGTCCCAGGCTGCTTTCTTCTATGGGAATGTTCCAAATGACATCTAATATTTAACCATAATTGAGACATTTAGAGGCAAACATGTCTAGACTAACTGATGTTTTAAAAGTGCTACTCCCCCTTTTTCTAGCAGTGTATCACTGTGAACTGCATGTAGTTAAATAATTAACACAGATTTTTCTGTTTCATTCAGCATTCTTAACCCATAGGTAAAACTCTTGCCCACAGATTATTTCAGTTAGACTCTGTAAAGGATTATTGTTGTTTTTCACAGGAGCTCACATAATCCCGAAGTCCCTCTTAAACTTTGGAACAGAGAGGATCCCTTCTGCTCATACTGTAAAGCAGCAGTATTTTCTAATTAAAGTATAGAAATAGGAGGTGAAATCCAGTAACCCAAGGTCAGGCTGAAGTAATGTGTCAAAATATGACACAATATAGGCCAAAACATAATATATATCCTGTACATAATGAGAGTACTCACTAAACATTTTTAGCATATGAATAGAAAATAAATTAACAGAGAAAACTTGTATTTCAGGAAAGAGTGAGTTCAAGGCAGGAGAAGGATAGTTTTAACTCACCACTCTGTAAGTGGGAGGGGTTACTAAGCAAAAATGTGTGTTGATAACCCAAAACATGGCAGTGGTCTTTTGTGTGTAATTATGGGATCAGGAATTCACAAACGTATCTCTTGGCAGTGCGGCAGACTTCATCCACCCACTTGCCCTGGGCTGACTGGGACAGGAAGACACAGTTTTCCCTCTTGCCCCCGTTGGGCTGGGCACGGTCCCAGTTGGAGTACTGCAGAGCCATGCCATTGACATCCACAAACCTCCCTTCGTTGACCATGTCGGTGATACCCAGCCAAAACTCGGACGCGCTGGGCACGCTTTTCTTGCCGTAATCTCGAAGGATGTTGGTCTCCTCGCTGTTCCTTGGGATAGCCAAGGTCCCCCCCTTGGCTATGCAGTCCTCATTGGCCTCGTGGAAGTGCTTGGTGCCTTCTGACATGAGGTAGCACTTCTTGTGGGCCTTGGTGCCGCGAAGACACACTGTGAACAGACAGGATTTTGCACGGTCAGCACAAGCGTGGGCCTCAGCTTTCAGTAATGCTTCTGCAAATGATAATTTTCCAAAAGCACCTTGAAACTTGAGCAGACAAATCCTTCAGCAAGTGAAAGGCTTTTGACTCAAGGTGGGCCTGAAATTTGGAGTAAGGTCAGGCTTACCTGCTGGTGCTCCAGTTCATGTAGGACCCTGTGTGCAGCCACAGGGGAGCAGACTGCTGAAATATAACCCAGGCCTGTTCTCAGTGCTCCTTTTACCAAATAGTGCTGCTTTTATGTTTCCTACCTTATTTCAGCAGTCCTGAAATGATGGAATGGATGAAGTTTGTTTTGTTGCCAGATGTAAGCTGGTTATCAGGAAATCTGTATTTGGCTTTATAGTAGAGACAGATCTAAATGCCTTTTAATATTGGTGATATTTAAGAAAAGTAAATTTTCACGTCTTATCTAAGCTCAGTTTCCAGCAAGCAAAGGCAGGACAGAAATGTGCTGTATTAAATGTGTCCTGCTCACCAGGAAAATATTGATTTGAAATTCATAATACAAATCTCTGAATGATTACTAAAAGTGTAATTCTACTTGTAGAAAATTGCATATTCACCTGCCTTGGAATTAATTTATTTTCTTTCCAGCAAAGTCTCCCTTTTCAAACTCTAACTCCAAATGAGGTAAAGTGACTTAAACCTATAACTGCATTAAAAAAGTGCACACTTACTACTGAGCTTACAGGACAGTCTTGACCCAATCTTCTAACCATTTGAATTTATAAATCTGTTTGCTTTTCCTTCTGCTGGGGAAGTCTTGATGTAAAGTCCGAACGGACCAGAGGGTTAATTTGGCAGCTGCTCTGTCACTGGAATTTCCTTGCAGAGCTGCTGCAGGGGTCCTGCAAACCTGAGGTCCCTGGGGGCAGGAACACAGGAGGGAATCCTTAAACTTTGCCTTCCAGATCTCCTAATGCAGATTAGTGAAAAACTGATTCTTCCAAGAAAAATAATGATGGCAAGATGAACCCTCCCTGGTGGAGTGTTTCTTCTGAGCTGAGGAAGGTACCAAAGCCTGGAATAGACTCCTGTAGCAATTATTTTTAGAATCCTGCATGTTATTACTTGCAGATTATTTCATTTATTGCTTAAGCTCATCTTGTACTTATTTACATCTTCTGTCTTGGTGTTTTCTATAATCTGTTTTTAATTCCTGTCACCTGTTCTTGTAAAAAAATAATAATGTCTCTGATCAATAGGCTATCAAAGTCATTTTGGACCACATCCTATGTCTCAACTTTTAGTATTTCCAGCTGTAGTATTCACTGTATTCCTTAGCTGCATTTTCAGATTCATAATTTTCTGTTAGGGTTTAACCTTCAATTTTTAACCCTTTCAATGGCCTAAGTAATGCACCTATTTATTAAATGTGGAACTCTTTAACAAATTGCTATTTATGGGAAAGATCAGAGAGACTTCAGCAATGCTGCAGCAATGATAAGGTCTGGATGTCTTTAGGGAAGGAGTATGTGCTGCAAAATGGTGTGTGGCAGCATTTCACATTTCACTCTGTGTAGAAAGGAGGCCCAGGAAGTTCAAGCAAAAGAAGAAATCAGATTTTTATGGTGTGTCTTGGAAATGTCCATAAGCTAAAAATGGAGCTTTTCAGTTGTTACAAGGACATTAACAAAGACAGTCAGAGCTAGGGGGGTGATAGGTGTCCTTTTGCCAGATTTGGATTCCAGTTGCACAGTGTGGGTTATAAATTTAGACTAAAGCTCAAAATAAGTTTTGAGGAGAGAAAGTCTCCCAGTTCTGGTTTCATTTCTAAGCCACTGCATGCTTCCTCTCAAGCTCCTTCTGGAAGCAACACAAGAATTACTTTTAAACAAGAGTTACTTGTCTAGAACAGGCTCCCTCTTTTAAGAAACTTCTAAAGCCTTCTTATAAGACATTTGAAATAAAAATATTTTGTAAAGCCCCAAAAGCTCTGTGTAACCCAAGACATAAAACTGAACAACCCAGATATTACCATCCCTAAGGAAAATACATTCTGTTTCATGAGAATGATGTAATTTCCTCTGTAATGTCCTCTTGTACATGTTTAAATGCCAGGTTTTGTGTCAACAGCTGTGAAAAAGCACAACTGTCTAGTAGGTGCATGTGTATTTATCCTTCTTATTTTGTCTGGAAATTTCCATCTGGTTATTGAAATACTTAAAGGACTCTGCACGTTGGTCCTGAATATTTCTGAACTCCCAGTGGATATCACTTTGAAGTTTTATGGCAACATTCACATTTGAATATATGTTCATATCAAAGCTGGGCACTGAACTTGCTGACCACCTAAACTCAGACCCAGGAACCCTCACTGTGCTGCCTTTGATGACACAGAGCTCAGAGCTTGAAGTTGTGCAAAGACAAAAGCAGTTATTGCTCTCAGTGAAGAATCACCACTCATTCCCCAGTAGCTGAGACCTGATTTTACTTGAATGCTTCCTTCAACATTTGTCTGGTAAAGCTATGGCACACCATGGAGCTGGACTCCTCAGTCATAAAATCCCATTAAAGAGAGGGGTGGAAGTGAAGAAGAGAGGCAGTGAGAACTTTTGGAAGCCACTGACCAGCATAAGCTGCTTTACCTGTCTGGAGTGCTTGTATTTCCTTCAGAGCATTTACTTCTCGCCACAGTTTGTCAATCTGGGTCTTCAGGTCATCTTTTTCTTATACAAAAAGAATATATAGAAATGAACAAATATGCACACAGTGAAAAGAAAATTACATGTTAAAAGCTATTTCAAAATATCATGGTTTGCATTTTGAGATGCATTGCTGAGATGCATTTTGATTATTTTAAAAGATTTGTGCTCAATGAAAACATGCCTCTAGGATTCCTATAAAAAACATGAGGAACCCACCTTTACCTTTCCTTCTGCTATTTTATCATGGATATTGTCCTAAAAACAGTTTGAAAATCATGGATTGTTGCAGCTAATCATTATTTGGTGAGCTGGTATCTAATTTCCAGAAAATGTCCTTTTTTCTTTTGAAACTACACTCTGATGCATGGACATGACATACAAAAAATAACAGGACACAAGTTGTGTTTCTTCAAAGAAATGTTATTTCTGTGAGCATGAAATTTTCACACAATTCTTGCTTTAGCACAGGGAGGAACAACAAATAAAGAGTCTGAATGTTGCAGGTGTGCTTGCTGAGCTGCAATCTCTACTTCCCAGGATTAGCCTTCCGTGGTCCCTCAGTACAGAGAGGGCCTGGGGACTTGTGTCACACAAAATCACTCTGAATCAGCATTTTGTAGCACTTAAAAAAGCACCAAGAATATGATGGGACAAGAAAATAAGATAATTTGCCCATAACTCCATTTTCATGTCCTTTTTTTTTTTTTTTTTTTTTTTAAATCACCATAACATTTTTCAGGGCTCCCTGCTTCCCCAAGGCAGAATTCTCTGTTTTCCAATCAGTGCTACTCTGTGCTGGCACAAAAAATGTATAAGCAGCCTGTCCTTAGGACACCTAAGCTTAAAACCCTCGAGATCCCAAAGGGGAAGAAGTGTCTACAATTGTGTGGCTCCAGAGCAGCTCAATCTTCTTGCACAATGACTTTATCAAAGCCACATGTTAAAAAAATTAAATAGGAGTTCCAATACTTGCCATCAGTGAGCCTCCATCATACCTGCTTTTATTAGAAATACATCTTTAAATTAAATACACAGACATTTCTAAAGAAGATTCTGTGGTTTTGTATTTACTCTTAAGCTTTGCTGTGGGAACTGATGCTTTAGAATCTGCTAATTCATTGATGTTGACCTGCTAATTAGTTTGACTTGCCATTTCACAGTGTTTTTCATACAAGTGGAGTAATATTCCACAAAGAGTACACAAGCAGCAGACAGTGGACATGCAATCTGTTAAAATTAGGAAATGGTACAAAAATCTGAACAATAATCCTTGCAGCCTGAATACTTTTGCTTGTTTCCCCATATATACAAATTTCCATTTTTCTGATCTTAGTCAATATAGCTACATAACTAGGAATGATCAGCCAGAGTCCTCTCTCAGCTGTACCTGTGAGTGCTAAATAAAGTTGACAGAGATGAACAGCCAGAACAGAGCAATATATTTGCAGCTGTTATACAGCTCTATTTTCATAATTCATTCTGGCACCTTATTTGTGGCTTTGCTAACTCACATAAAAATTATTTAAAAGACATATATAATATAGACTCAAGTGCCCTTTCTAAATAAACATTTGTGTAATGTTAGTTTCTGGTTCATGCAGTGCTGTTTAAAGTACACAGTGAATTTGCACAGTCTATAAGGTTCTATCCCTCCTCCCAGTTCAGACCCAGTACCTTTCACTCTACGTTTGCTGTGCTTCCTGGCTTTGAATTTGGAAGCCTGGCTGATGGTCTGATCCAGCAGTAGTAAGCTTACGAGTAGAAAAATCATAATTCCAGTTTGTGCCATGTCTCCTTGAAAGACCCTAAGAGGGAGCTTGAAGAGATTCCCTGTAGCAGCTCTGAGAGAGGTCACCCAGAGCCATCTCAGCAGGGGCTGCCTGAGCCCAGCTTTATAAGGTGTGCTGGCAGCTGGGCTGGGCTCCTTGCTTACGAAATGTTTAGTGCTCGAGCTGGCTGTAGCATAAGAAACCCCCTTGTTCTCCCATCCCATCTGCAAGTGCTGTTTCCATTCTGAGCTCAGCTGTCCCAGCCCTGATCACTGCCCTGATTGCCCCACCCGTGAGCTCAACACCGGAGCCAAAACCTGGGGAAAAGCAGACGGGTGCTTGTGCTCTGCCAGCCTCCAGGAGGGGCAGCCAGAGGATTCCCACAAGTGCCAGAGGCTCGCCCAGCACGGCTCTGCCCCAGGCTGGTCAAGTCAGGACAGTGGCCACCACCTTCCACTGAAGCACAACCAGGATGCTGCTTCCTCAAGAAATGCAAGCATTGCAACTACAGACCCACACAGGGGATAAAACACTGAAATCACATTATGTGAGGAGAACATTTATTGGTTTATGAAGAGTTAATAAACGCTTGATAGATATGACTGCATTACTGGTTGAGAACAGCAATCATCAGGGTCTAGTTAGGGGAATAAAAGGTAGCAGTGCTCTCCCAAAGGGTCCCAAATTCTGATTGTAGAGTCAAAGGAAAACACAAAGTGCTGAAGCAGGACAGTGCCTCCCTGGAGTCTGGAGAACTCTCTGAATGTTAATCTCTTTCATTTGTCCTTGGGCTCTGTGGACTTCTGTGGGGATGCCTTTAATTAGGATCGTTATATCAAGTAGAACCTCTCCCTGAGAGGTTCATTTGTCTACCTCTACCTTGGTAGACAAATGAAATTGTCACAAAAATATTCCCATCCATCACACTTTTTCTTTTTTCCTTTTCTTTTCCCCCCATTAAAAGAGGGTTTAATTAAAATGTGGGCACCAGAGCCATTGCTGGGTGTTGGCTGGTGCAGTTCATGTTCTTCAGAGCTGTTCTTCCTGACATCCCTTTGCCATCTCTGCCTTGATTACATTCTGCTCACATTGCTGGCATTATTTTTATCAGGACTGTAGTCAAGGGACTTACTACTTTATTTTAAAAAAGTTGAGATTTAGGAACATGCTGGTGTACTGCATGAATACTTACTGGCTTTTTCTAACCCCCACTGAGGCATTTCAGGACTTTCAGTGCAAACCACACCTGCCCTGTCTGTTCTGGACACCTTTAAACAACTCCCTGTATTCTCATAGTCTGTAACTAGCAAACATCTCTTAGCCATTAGCTAAGAAACTTTCCATAAATGCATCCTGATATGATCAAACTTAGTCCCAGTGGTCCTGCTCCAAAATATTGAAGTATTAACACAGATTGTATAGGGAAACTTCTGGATCAACATTGCTCAGCCCTCAGAGCTGTTTTGGAGCACAGCACATCAGAGATGGCTGTTGTGGGTCCCACCCACCCACAACTGCCCAAAACATCTCACACAGCTGCAAATTTCAGTCCATGGTAAATGTGGAAAGGGCTGGCATTCCAACTAGCACCCCAGAACTGAAAAGTGAGCTGGCAGAGAGGAAAATCAGGAGCTTTGCAAGACCCTAGTTCAAGATTTAATCTGTCCTTTAGAACAAGCCCTAAGTTCAGGCTTGATCCATACTTTATCCCAATGGTATTGGGGCATCATATCACTTAATTAAGGGCTGAATCAATAACTGCCTCCAGTTAGTTTTTCACTTGGTGTCTTCTCAGATATTGTGGAATTGCCCATGAAGCTGCTCCTGAACCAGTGCAGCTTTCAACCTGACAAATTAAACTGTGCTAATTTCAGGTTGCCTTGATGAGGGAGCTGCAAAGCCCTGGAGCTGTTTGATGTGGAGCTTAGCTGTCCCCCAGGCTTTGGGAGAGGCTGGAGCAGTAGCTGGGTCAACAGGCCCTTTAGTGTGTGTGCTCAAGGTCTCAGTACCAGAATGGATTTGTTCCTGCCCCAAGGAACCTGAGCTTGCTAACACAGGCTCCTTTTCTTCCTGAAACGGGCCTGACAGAGAAAGATTTGTACTCTACTGGGGCAGCACACAAGTCACTAGAAACAGAGGGATAAAGAAAACACAGATTTGGTATTCTGACAGGTCCTGGCCAAGAGCCTGGGTGAAAAACTGCTTTTTGGAGTACACCGTGTAATGTCCGTGGAAGAACAGAGTTGAAATTCTGTTTTGAAAGCTTAATCCCCCTCCTTCAGTATTTTCTCTGAGCATTTTTCCAGTCTGCAAGTAGCTCAACTGGACTTCACTCTTAAAAAGTGAATCACAAAGCTGCCCTCGCAGCTGCTGGGATAGACCACAAGGATATAGGGGCTAGAATTCCTCTGGAGTACCCAAGAACAGTTTCCACATTTATGACTAACCTGTAGCAACTGGGGAAGCAGGTTTTAACTTCCTGGGTATGGTGTGTGAGCAGGAGAGCCAGAGAACAGTCAAAAAATATGTTGCTGTGAAGATGTAACCTTGCAGGGCTACTGTGAGGAAGCAGGAAATGGAGCCACACAGGAGTGACACACTCCCTGAAGTGAGTACCTGGGCTGTGTATGGGGTTGAAATCAGCATAATAATGTCATTTAGAAGTGGAATTTTTCTTTTACTCACGCAGTTACAGTAATATAATATAGCCCAGGGAGTGAACACAATTATACACTGATAGAAGTCATTTTTCCTGAAACAAATGATTCCACTGTCCTTCTCAGAATATACTGTATAAATATAAATATCCTCATTGCTTTAGAGATGCATCCAGACTAGGATGGGGGTGTGGTTTTTTAATTTTATTTACACCACTACAGTAGAACTTGTGCATGCAGACAGAATTGTGGTTTCTCTTGAAGTGCTTAGCTCACTTCGAGGCACCCTTGAAATGCTCTGTCTGATAAGAAACATCTTGCAAAAGCCAGAGCTGCTGTGCTGCAGTGGCACTGGGGTTTTGGCTCCCATCTCTCCACCTCATTCCATTTGCTGTCAGACAACCAGACCATTCAGAGCACAAACATCCTTTGGTAAAAGGCTTTTTTCAGTTTCTCCACAGAGACTCTTCAAGGTAAAACCCTGTTTCCTTCAGAGACAGTTCTACCTTTATGTGCTCCTCTGAACTGGCTCAGGAAAAGCCTTCATACAGCTGTATTTTCCTGTCCATTCTCAGTCATCCCTGGGTTACGGAAAGAACATGCAATGGGGCACAGAGTATGAGAAGCCAGTGTGAGATGAGGACTGGATGCTGAGCTCCTGAAATAGGTCTGGCTGCAGATGTACAAGAGCACTTGTAAAAAAATAGCTTTAAAAAGATTTAGTGCTGCAGTCTGTTGGGAAGTGAACTGCCCACACATCGCCAGTAGATTGTCTGTGTTTTACTGAGACCAACAGTCCCCTTGTGCTCCAGAGCTAAGTGTGCTGTGGGATATTTCACCAAATGGGAACTTAATGGGCTCTATCTGCTCCTGGAATCAGAGCAAACTCTGTTCTTCTTGCAGCACTTCAGTTCTAGAAAATTCAGCTCAGCTTCAGGACAATGAAGCCATTTATTTGGAGAGTGGGTGAGTAATTATTTGCCCCTTCTACTGAGAGTATAAAGAGAAAATGAAAACTGATCTGAGCTGTTGCCAGACTAAGGAATTGCAAGTGAGGCAATCTGAAGAGCCAGGATGGTCAATAAAAGCAGATAACAGAAAGGACAGTAAAAGGTTTAACACAAAGGTTAGTAAAAGGCTTATCACCTCCAATACATCAGGTTTTATGACTGTCTTGGGTAAATGGGACCTACTGGTTTATTTTTATTTGTTTCAATTTAAGGTAATAAATTTTGCAAACTCTCCTAGTCAAGCATTATGTCGTGCTTGGAAAATTACTGTGTGCTTGGCTTCTTTGGCCTTGAAAAGTCTTGCAAAGTCTTTCTTAAGGATTTCATCTCAGTCCTAAGAGGCATGAGGCAGGAGCATGGCTGACATCCCAACACCAAAGTTATTTTGGGGAAATCTGTACAAACAAACTGTGTTTAGAGAAGCAAAGGGCTAGCCTTAGGGTATGTGAGGTTTTTTGAAACTTATTAAAGATATTTTGGAGTTTTGCCATTGATTTGAGTTTTTTTCTGTCATGCTAATTTGGTGTTTTGAAAGGAAATTTGCTGGGTACAAGTGATCTGCTCTGACAGAATTAAAGGTGGTTCCAGGTTTATTGCAGAACCAGGCTGCCCACCAGTGACCTGCACTGAGTGTCAGTGAGTTGAAATGAGGACAGTCATGTCTTCTTTAGATATGTGGTTCTGCTCTCCCAATCACATGCCTCACCTTGGCACTGTGGACTGTTCCTGACTGATCAATAAATCTGCTTCTCAATGTGGTATTTGAGCTGTTACTGCCTACAGGTCCAGTGCTTTTCAATTCCCATGTTGTAAATACAAGCATAAAAAAAAAGGAGATATAATAGTGTAAGTGAACTGAAAAGATGAATCAGGGGAGTATTTTGAGCTTCTGGAATAAGTGCTTTTTGTATCTCTTATTTTGGGATCTTTGACACAAAGCATCTCACAGCTGGGTCTCAGCAAGGAGAGAGGAGGGGAAATGGTTTGCAAAATACAACAGAAAGGCTTGTCTTACATCTACCACACATATTTAAGACAAATAGCATCATCTTGTCTATGTGACCAAATCATCTCACCTGTATTCCTGTCCCTCTCCTGCCGTGGCACTGGGTATGGATTACAGGTTGTAAAGCAGAGAAAACAGCTGATCCAGGCCAGAGAGATCAGAATGCAGAACAGATTCACCAAACACACACAAAGCAAGGAGGGAAAAACCACTGAGCTCTTCTTTAGTTTCCTGTCCAATGCACTCTGCACTGGCACAGGTCCTTTCTTAAGGTGTTCACGTATCTCAAAGGAATGACAGAGTTGACAAATCTTTTTTTCCTTCAGGCCTTTAGCTGCAAAGATAAG